GCAAGTAGTAACTGGTGTAATTTTCCGCCTAACGAGAACTCACGTAAGAAAGGGATAAATCCTACTTTAATTGGTTAGTAGTAAGTGAGGAAAAATAGAAAACAGATGAATTCCCAAAAGCTGTCACTGTTTGAATTATGTAGTAGTCTATAGTGGTAAATTATTCCATAGAATTATTGGTCTGCAGCACTCCACTCAACATTGAACGTGGATCTTCAATGTTTGAGTCCACTTGTTAGGCTAAAGGTTAGACGTCACGCATCCACTCGAATCGGCATGCTGCAGTTTGATGTACGGTTTTCGAAACAACTTCATCAATCAATCATCATCCAACGTTTCTGATACCAAAATACAACTACGTGCCGCAAATGGTTCGCCAATTGCTACGTTCGGCAGGGGTTTTATAGATCTTAATATCGGTTTGCGCCGTTCACTTCGTTAGGTCTTCCTAGTGACAGATGTGACCACAGGTATAATTGGCATGGATCTGTTGCAGTGCTACCAATTACTGGTAGATACGGGTAATCGCACATTGAGAGATCCAGGCACACGGGGCACAGCTCTCAGCCCGGTATATACTACACCCACTTCAGCCGGCCCATATTCCTATATACTCCAATCTTTTCCTGACTTGTTTAAACCCAGCCGTGGCCTACCATGTGTGACTTCCAACGTCACGCATCATATTGTTACAACTGGCCAGCCAGTCTTTGCAAAGTCACGACGTCTGTCCCCAGAAAACCCAAAGGCCGTTAAAGCTGAGTTTGATCATATGCTGGAAATGGGAATAATCCGGCCATCCAGCAGCTCGTGGTCCTCACCCTTGCACGTTGTACCCAAGAATGACGCGTTAGATTGGCGACCTTGTGGTGATTACCGCAGGTTAAACTCACAAACTGTTCCCGATCGCTACCCCGTCCCTCACATCCACGATTTAACATCGTCACTCAAGGGAGCTAGGGCACTCAGCAAGCTGGACCTGACACGGGCTTACCATCAGATTCCCGTTCAACCCGATGACATCCCTAAGACCGCCGTGATTACGCCGTTCGGCCCATTCGAATTTCTTCGAATACCTTTCGGTCTTCAGAACGCTACCCAAACTTTCCAGCGATTTATCCGTGATATTTTGCGTGGTCTCGATTTCTCCTTCCCCTATTTGGATGATATTTTGGTAGCTAGTCCAGATGAGGCAACACATCGACTTCACTTGCAGACCGTTTTCCAAAGGCTTACAACACACTCCCTCACACTCAACTTAGCAGTGTCAGATAGAGGGCACTTCTTTGAATTACTTGGGACACAGGATAGATAAGGATGGGATCTATCCGTTATATGAACGGGCAGAGACTATCCAAAACTTCCCTCTACCCACATCTCTCAAACCATTATGCACCTTTCTTGGAATGGTTAGCTACTACCTGCGCTTTATTTCCCCAGTGCGCCCACATCTTGACTCCCTTGACTGATATGCTTAAGGGGAAATGTAAGTCAATCATATTCACTGAGGAAGCCTTGACAGCTTCTGCAACTATCAATAGGGCTATTGCTGATGCCACAATGTTAGTCCACCTGGATGTCCAGCTACCACTCAGCATTTCAGTTGATGCTCCTAGCAATGCGATTGGAGCTGTCCTACAACAGCGTGTGTCCAATGCTTGGTCACCTATTGCTTTCTATTCTCGTAAACTTACTGCATGCGAATCTAGGTACAGCACTTTCGGTAGAGAGCTTCTCTCTGTTTATGCTGCTGTCAAACACTTTCGTCACTTCGTGGAAGGCCGACAATTTACTGTGTTCACTGATCATAAGCCATTGACGTACGCCCTTCACACCACTACAGACAGGTACTCACCACGTGAACTACGCCACTTGGACTACATTTCACAGTTCACTTCCGATATTCAGCACGTTTCTGGAGCTGATAATCCTGTAGCAGGCGCGTTGTCTCGCGTATGCGTTATGTCAGCGCCATCAACCATAGATCTTAATAAAATGGTTGAACTTCAAATGAAAGACTTGAACTTAGAACACCTGTCAAACGAAACCTCGCTGAGAATAGAACGTGTTCCCCTAACGAACAGCGAAGCATCCACACTGTGTGACATGTCAATAGGCACTCCTCGACCAATTGTCCCTAGGCCTTTACGTTGCACCGTGTTTGAGTGCTTACACAACCTCTCTCATCCTGGGATTCGAGCAACGGACAAGTTGATATCGGCCAGATTCGTGTGACCTGGTATCAGCAGCGATTTGCTCCAGTGGACACGTGCTTGTGTTAAATGCCAACGTCCCAAAGTAACCAATCATAACATCACACCTTTGGGGACTTTCGCAACCCCAGATGCTCGTTCCAACCATATACACTTGGATATCGTGGGGCCCCTACCCTCTTCAAATGGTTGCTCCTATTTACTCACGTGTGTGGATCGCTTCACGTGTTGGCCAGAAGCCATTCCGATACCAGATGTAACGCCTCAAACCATCTGCCGTGTGTTCATGGAAGGTTGGGTCGCCCATTTCGGATGTCCCGCCACTGTCACTACCGACCGAGAGCAACAATTTGAATCCACAAACTTCAGGAAACTCTTAGAGATGCTGGGATGCAAGCGTATTCGGACAACCGTGTATCATCCCGCGGCAAATGGGCTAGTAGAGCATTTCCACCGCCAGCTAAAAGCCGCGTTGATGACAGTAGACAACAGTAGATAGACAGATTCTCTGCCATTGGTCCTACTTAGCATCCGTGCCACACTCAAAGTGGATCTACAGTGCTCCTCAGCCGAATTGGTGTATGGCACTACGCTTCGTTTACCAGGTGAGCTTATCGCCCCTGACACTTTCGAACAAAATTTCCCTGATATCACCTGTTACGCCCAGAGGCTTAAAGGTTTTATGCAGCAAATCCGACCCGTTTCTACACGCACTCAAAGCCGGAAAGCACATGTCGATAATCGACTTGATGATTGTACTCATGTTTTCGTGAGTCATGACGCCGTGTGTAAGCCCTTACAACCCTCATATGATGGACCTTACAAGGTCCTTAGTCGGAAAGAAAATTTTTTCGTTATTGATCGATCTGGCCATCAAGACACCGTAAGCGTCGACAGACTTAAGGAGGCTTACATCGAAGACTCTTTACCCCTTACGCCTACACAACCAGCAACTACGTCTGCACCCACACCCCAGCCAGGTTCTGTTGTTGAACATCCTACTAAACCTAGCAGTTCTCCGGATGCGACAAGTAAAGCACCGGTTACACGCGCTGGTCAACGTGTACACTGGCCTAAGCGATACTGTGAATTTGTTAACTAAACGCTTTTAATTACAAGAGTAGTTCGTACCCTCATGTCTTTTCTCGGGCTACATTCATTTTTCATGGTATTTACCCTTTTGATTTAGTTTGTGGGCAGTAGCCACTTTTTCAGTTACTAACCCTGTTAGACTTCTTTCCCATTACAGAGTGTACTAACATTTTATTTTTGGCGTTGCACTCGAACCACTAGCTACACCGATCAGCCCTATTGTCGTATGGTGGCTCCCAACACTTATGGAATTATAAACCGAACAAACAAAAATATAGACCAAATAATAATAAAAGAAAAGAAATAAAAAATATAATAAAATGTAAAAACAAAAACTTTCACTGTATAGTTAAACGGACCGTTAAATATTTTCGCACATAAATGTGTCACATTTTAATCCACTCAATCTATTTTCACAGATTTTACTATGTTCACCCGGGTTATGCCATGCTGAAACTTATTTATTTTGTGGCCCATACTTGTAATTACTTTGCATCACCTTAATTATACAGCTCGCGACATTTTTTACACTGATGATTGTACCTACTCATAGCTATTGGTTATATACACACTTCTCTGTACCTTGCATAAGTTTTCACAGCGTTAGCAATTTCCCTTGTTTTGTTTCAATTTGGCGTATTACTTCCATGTTCACTAGTTTGCCTCGCATTTATTCCACTTAAGCTTTTGTAACACCTTATGCTGATTTTGAAATCTTAGCCTCTTCTTCCATTATTTTCTGTTGTTTTTACCCTGTTCCTCCTAATACGCTGGTATATTTATTGCCTCTTAGTATCGCCACTAGTTTCTGTTGAAGCGGAGGAGTGGAGCATTAGTCTAAGACGAAACTTAGACATAATGAGTCATCTTGCCGCCATGACGACCAGGGCGACGGAGGTATACCATCAAACCTTCACATCAGTAAGCCCGTAACAGTACGCCGTTTAAAAAATGAATAAATAGATAGATAAAAATACACTAGAAAAAATTTAAAAATCATTATAAAAAAGACCAAAAAATGAATAAAAATAAACGTCATAAAAAATAAAAAGGAAGGAACCAAACAACTTAGAAGCATGAAATCGCACCCAGTCACCAGCGTCATTTCTTCTTATATTCCGTCTTCCTCCACTAATCATGTACATAGTGCCTCTAACTCGCCTTAACTTTTTCTTCTTTCCTTTCGTAATATCTTTTTAATTATTATCACTATCTTCAAACTTTCTTGTCCATTCACTGTTATTCTACAAAGCCTTGTTACTTTTATATATCGAAACTTGCTGGTTTCCCACCAACCTTCTAAGAAGGGGATATCCTGTAGTGTACACTGAACCCTTGAACTTTTGTTTGAACTCACTCACCCGACTTTTCGCACCCTGTTCCATTAACACAAGTCTTTTTACCTTGATTCCGTTCGTTAGTATTTGCACATTAGTCAGAGTACAACTAAGGTCATAAAGCAGTGAAAAAGTTTGTGTAAGAGTGGTTAATTTAGGTCTAAGTTGAGCCAAGTCTAACTCTTGCAGACTGATGAATATGAAATGCGTTGGCAAGTTTCATCAACGTTTAACGTTTTGACGTTTATACACAGCTCGGATAAACACAGGTGCGACAACCTGCATCACATTAATGACTTCAGATACTAAAGCCAGGTGCGATGGCTGCAGTAGACCTCTACAAGGCATAACCGATAATATGTATGCATTGCTTAATAAAACCAGCAGTCATGAAGAGGATGCGGTAGCCCTGTGCGCGTGCAAACGAATTCAGTTGACGATATCACCTGTTCATGCAGACAAACTTGTTGTCTCAAATGCTGTGTTTAGATTTCAGACTTATACCTTGATTCAGGAGATAGCACCTTCTTATCAAATATTTGGTGGGTAAACGTACCAACAGTCAGGAACACAACAACCTACTCTGAATAGTCAGCCACTACCAACTAAACAAACTGCTACATTTAGGTCCACTGAACATTATAAAAGGCTTCGACTCAGACACAGTATTGTATGACTGTCATAAATTCACCGTAAAAGAGATGGGGTGGGAGTAAATGGAGTGATCTCCAGGTGGAATCCTTTAGCTGGTGAGGTCTTGCAACACACCATTATGGTTTATTAGCTGCTTTACCTAAATAATAATAAATTACTGAAAAATATGAACTCATTATACCTGTTGTTTGCATATGATACCAAGACTTGATGAAGCCGTCGATAATAATACTGCGGGATATTCCCAAAATAATTAACGAAACAGCAATAACTATTAGACCTGGAGGCTAAATTTAGCAGAAGTGTAGTAGTTATACTTCGTCAACCGTGGTGCACTCTGAGGGTGAAATACAGCTATCCTATTCTTCGGAAAAAACTTAGTGAGTATCGGCAGTCATAAAAGGGAGTTATCATGCTGTCACAACTATATATTTGAACGGGCTGAGGTTAGTTATTATTGGTTTCAAATATTTAGATGGGATCAAATCTAGGGTTTTTTTATTCAGTGTATGTTAGACGCAGTCCCGAATGTTCTCAGTATATTTATTGGAGGTGTGAATTTATACGAACTAGATCAATGACGGCGATGCTTCACCTCCTCGCATCAGCAACAGGATTTAGGATTAAAAACTCTATTCACTAACATACCTATACCGGAGAAACTACGAAGTATCTATAACTATAACATCGCCTAGTTTACTGGATCTCTAGCTTTCTGACCAGTCTTAAGTCTGGGTAAACGGGAAGGGTGGGATGTGGAGTTGGCGATCCGACCCCACGAAACCAATCAAAACGCTAAAGAAACTTCAACGCACAAGAAAAATTATAAAAATACAAAATATACACAAAACAAGCTCATTCGTCACTGGAATTGGACGGGCGAAATGGGGCAGGCTGGTGAAAGCCTTCATTATGGAAGCCATTCAAGCGGTGTGCCTCCTCCCCATGAGAACAAAAATAAGGACGGGTAGGTGGAATATTCATGCAATGAACGAGGCTGGGAAGGCCGCTCAGGTTGCCGAATATTTGAGAAAGTATGACATACAATTGCTAGGAAGCTGCGAGGGCGAATGGAATGGATGTGGACTGTCCAAATCGTTAACTGTACAATCAATAAGCTAATCATGTCGCTCCCAGGACAACCGCAAGCACACTGAGGGAGTGGCTATCACAGTGTTATCAACAGCAGCCAAAACTCTAATGCACTGGGGACTAATTTCATCTAGGACCATGACAGCAAGATCCAACTCAAAAGGGATGGAGGTTATAACTATCAGTTGCTATGTGCTTACAAATAACTTAGAACAACAGAAGAAGGGTGATTTCTATAAACAACTGTAAACATTAGTAATACAACATCCGATATGTGGAGATCGAAATCCTTACACGTGATATGAATAATACAGGAAGAGGACTCAGCATGGGCCGAGAGGCTCCCGGAGAAATGAATGAGAATGGAGAACACTTCGCAGATTTGTGTGCCTTCAATGATTTGATGACTGGAGGCATCATATACAGGCATAAGGAAACAAACAAAGCAACATGCATTATGACCGACGGATACATTACAAACCAGATAGAATTCGTGTCAATCTCAAGGAAGTGGAGACGTACTCTATCGGTTACGAAGCTGAGGAGGGGAGCAGTTGCGGGCTCAGACTATCATACAGTTCAGGGAATCATCAAAGTGAATCTGAAGGAAAGCAGAACAGCCGGAGACAGATGATAATTCAAATTCAACATCCAGAAACTGAAAGATGCAATTGCCAGAGAAACTTTCACTATAGTTATCACAACAAAGTCAGAGACAATACGTGCTATCAGTGAGGAATCCTGCATGGAAGAACATTGGAACTCCCTGAAGGTGATGCTCAAGGAAACATGTACAACTGTACTAGGCAGAAAGAAGAGACAAGACAAGGAATGAACCTAAACAGACACCTGGAAGCTAATTGATGAGACGAGGATGGTTCAATCTGCACTGCAATGAATAAGGAAGTGAAGAAAAGGGCTAGGAAAGACAAACGACAATTTGACGACATACTGAAAGCTGAAGCAGAAAACGCCTTAGGTAAAAAGGGCCTCAGAACATTGTATCAGATTATAGGGTCTCTATCTGGGAAGAGATCACCACAGAAGAAACCTATGAAAATGTTCAAGGGAACATAATCGCTGGTGAGGAGAGACAAATAAAACAATGGATTGATCGCTTCAAACGACTCTTGAAATCACCATCAACTGCAACTAAACCAGAAAAAAACACCACAAGCACTCATGGAACTGACAGTGGACACTAGTCCCCCAATATGAGCATAAAATCTTAGGCGAAATCAGGATGCTGAAAGCCAGATGGGAAGGCAGAATTACCAAACGGAATTCCCCCTAAAGCACTAAAAACAAAAGATGGAGTCAGAACTCAGCCATCTCGGAAGAAGCTGGATCCAGGAGTGGCAAACCATGTGCAGATCGAATCGCAACTCTACGCATCATCGTAGGACAGAGCTTAGGATGGCAGTCAAACCTGCATTTTAACTTCATCGATTTAGAACTGTCATCAAGATATAGTGAATATTCTTTAATACGGACGTGAAAACTAATAAGTCATCACCAAATTTCTATGATATTTAACATTGTACTAGCAGGAAGTAATCCTTTTAGTTCATTTGCGTTCGACTTCGATGCACTTATTAACATCTTAAGTAACTGCTAACTTGTTCAGCGTCACGAACTCCGCTGAATCAGCTTTCATCATACACTGGGAAACCAGAAGACAACCGGAAGCTAGAACTCATATCTTGTATTGTTTTGGGATTCAAAACAAGCAGATAGAGAATAAGTTATATAATAATCCACAACGGGAAACTCAGTGAGGCGTTCGAAGTGAATGCAGGAGTAAGACAAGTCTGGCTGCCTATAATCACCGATGATATATCTAATTGTGATGGATTTGATTATGCGAAAGACTGTGCACAGGAATATGCTGGACCAGCGATAAGGAGACTCTAGAAGATCTAGATATCACAAATGATATACGTCTAATATCACACAAACTCGAAGACTCACAGGCGAAAATCAACAAACTGGCAGAAAAAGATGGTAGGTAGCGAATAAAGGACTGAAGGTGAACACAGAGAAGACGGAGATGATGAAGATAATCAACGAACCGCAAGAACAACAACAACCAGCACCAGTCATCATCAACTGGAGAGATTTAACAGAGGTCAGCTCCTCCACTTATCCAGGAAGCATCGTTTCAACTACAGGTGGGAAGGATGAAGATATCAGTGCTAGCCAGAATCAGAACGGCAAGATACGCCTTGATCAACATGAAACCAGTTTGGAAATCTTCTGCACTGATGCGGCATAAACAACAAGATTTGGATTTTTGACAATAATATCAACTCTGTCAGTTCTTCTACATGGATCAGAAACTTGAACAGCGTGTCACGAACAGGATTTCCAACAGGTTGCAGACTTTCATCAATAGCTACCAACTTCGCCGGCTCCATATTGAAGATCAAATGGCTGGCTGGTCAGAAAGAATTAACACCTAAAAACTCTGGCTGGGAACATACCAACAAGCAAGAGCCGATCGCTCAACAAATATGTAGGAGGAAACAAAGATGGATGGGGCGCACACTGAGGAGATTGTCGAATGACATCGCGCCCAATGCAGGCCATAGCTCGACGAGTTGGTCGTTGGTGTGAGGATGATATGGAGGAGATCGTGTGAGTTGGAGGAGGAGATGATAGATTATCGGCGATCGGGGGATCAGTAGAAGAGGACAGCAGAGAATAGGATAAATTGGAGATGTGTTATTGCGGCCCTATATTCCACAGGGCACTCAAGGGAATGATAATAATTCTATTACCATGTTCATATATATGTTTCAAGCAACAGTTATGTTCCTTTAATCGGGAGATTGTGGATGAGGACTCACTATCACAACTGGTTTTATTATCTGCTTCAATGAACACTTTCACTGAGAATTTGGACATTTACGTCCCACCATAATTTATCTCTTTGGACAGACAACTAAGTTTTCATAATGCTAGATAGTTTTTGTAACCTTTGAATATCAGTAATTAAAAAGGATGTTGAGTCTTCTGGAATAAATAACAGGATTTATTTAACGGTAATTTATAAATAAGTAAAAATACTTACTTTCAAGGTCATTAGGCAGGCAAACATTTAATTTTCCACATTTTCATAGGTTCGTTGATCTCACTTGTTTTGATCACATATTAAGTTTTTCAAGGCCTTTTCAAAGTTTAGTCTCCAGACGTTTTTGACAAAATAAGTCCCATTTTGTGTTACTTTATATTCACCGGCTGTTTGGAAAATTGCTTGGAAACAAACTGTTTCATCATCCAAGAGTTCAGGCAACCCAACAAGTTTTGAAACCCGGAAAATTATACAGTGTAGAACTGGTTGCTTTTTATTGCACGTCTGTACCATAAAAGTGTGTTTTCTTAGTAATTAGAGCATATCTTAACCAACTGAATTCACTGACATTACTGTGGTGTCCCTACCTGTGGCTCACTGGTTAACAGCTAACCAAATTTCGACAAATAAGTTGGTTAGGAATGGCGTCGCATTTATTTTAAAACAATAGTTTTAACATACATAAACACTGTTGCTAGAGATTCAACAATCTTGTGGTAACAAAGATGTATTAATCACAGGGAACATCTGAAAAACACCAAGGGACTATCCTTATTTTATTCTCAGAGAACAGTATTGGCTGTTATAGAATTATGTTGGAAAGAGATTTCGGGGCTGTCGGATGAAAACATCACCAGTAAATGAAGTCATGCGTCGGTGGTTCAATGGTAGAACATTCGTTAGCCGCGTGGGGGCTACGGCTTCGACCCCAGTCTGACGCAGTATTAAGCCGTGGAAAAGGAAAGAATAAGTGTCAGGCTACCAACCTCCTCCCTCAAAAAAACATAAAAACACCACCCTACTCAAAATTCAAAGCACGAAGTCATTGGTTCCACTGAGAATGGAGTGAATGGGACACGCGAAGAATCTACGAAGTCGCTGTAAGTGACATTGAGCAGTATAGAGAGCCTTGCTGGGGCCTCTCGTAATGTTTGGAACCAGTGTTTTGAGACTGCGAGTGAAGTGGCTTGGGAATCGGTTGTATCGTCCAGATCCTGAGATTTCTGACCAGTCTCCACTTGATCATTCCCTCTGTCGTATGTTTTCCTCCATCTCAGTTTCTTTCGAATTCTTTTCTATACTTTAATGTGTGCTTTTGCAAAGTGTTTCAAACTAGACTGCTGCACGTTGTTGCAAAGTTTGACATTGACGATTCAACGAGTCAGTGACAGGTGTCTCTGAGATCGACACTGTCTGCTTTTTAAGTCTATAATTGGTCGTGTTGTTAATTTTTCCTCGCATTGTTGGGAAATAGAGTTATTTGTCTAATGAGGGATTGCACAGTTACTCATCTAATCAACATAACTCATCTTAACCATCATAAAAAATGTAGAAAATATGTCTTTTATGCATCTTTGTCATGAAAACTTCTGCTGAACACTATTTTTGTTTATGTGGACAAGACACACTATAAGATATAATATTTTGTGACCGTTTTGTACAACGCCTTTAGTTAGTGTATTGATGTCTTAATGTGTGAATGTACCTCACTTCTTAAGTAACTTTTCAGTAGCAGCAATTTTCAAAGTAATGGAATTCCGCGTAATTATTCTGTAACTAGAACCACCAGGGAGTGTATTGGCAGCAGATTTTCCTACACCCATGAAAGAAATGTCTGCTCTGAGAAAAATGGGCAAATCATTCCTCCAATTAGTGCTTACGACTTGTTGTTGGGGCCATTTACATATTGGATTATGCGTGAACTAGAATACGGACACGTTTGCAGGGTTTTTAAATAGCTGAGCAACATGTCAGTTCACCCGTTAAAGCTCTTTCCATTTGTTTGATCCATGGTTTTGTTCATTTATAAGCACGCGGCGTTCACCATATACGTGTTACGATGGTCCTTCATGGAAGGATCTCATGAATATCTTTGAGACTAGTGGAAACATTGCTCTGAAAGTTATATCCGATCAATAAGTGATTTAAGCACTCAGTTCACTTTCGCACAATAATCTCCTGGATTTATTTCGCCCTACCAGTCATCAAATGTTGTAACTATCGGGTTAAGCCGAAAATGTAGAGATGAAAACTGAACAGAAGTGCCTCAGTTAGGCAGATTAAAAAATTGAGGAATATCTTTATTAGTTTTAAGTATTCGTGCAAAAATTAGAGTGAAATGGTAAGTAGTAAAAATATCATTAAACACTCGATTTTATCTTTTCTCAACGTTTAAACTTAATTCACTTTCAGGAAGTTTTTCTGCTTTCAAAGGTTTTCATTGTCTAGCTAGAGTTTAGGATATTAGTTCAGAATCGCCTTCAGCCCAAAGTGCTTTTAAGATTTTCTTTCTTGGGTACTTATGGAGATTTTCTTCCGACTAGAATTTGTGTTAAGGTTTGATTAGTTCCATTCTTCTTAACTAGTTCTGTGTTATGGTTTAAATTTTTTGACTGCTTGTTCCTAAGGTTCATTCTCGAGGTTTAATCATTTGATGGGCCATTGAAAGGTGGCCTCTATGGATTAGGCTTCAGTACCTGTCCCCCAGCTATACCGAGCTTTCTCTTCCTTTCCGTTTGGTGAACTCTAGCTTATTTGAACTTTAAAGTTGTCTGTGGACAGATTTGGTTTGTCATATTAGAAGTAACAGGTAAATTATCATTTGGTTTTTCTGCAGCGGTTTCTTTTCTAGTATGCTTTTTTATCTGAGATAATCAAGTTGAATGCTCCATTTGAAGGTGTTTTTTGTCCCTAATTATCTGAGAGTGCTGTATGATCTCGGGGATTTTTCAGACTCTTCGGGTGAAATAGTAGTTAGAATTGAGAGCTACTTAACTTGTGTTTGTTGACTTCTGTTTCATCTTAATGGTGCGGGGAATTGTCTTTTATTCTTCAAAGTGATTTGTTTAAAGGTTTCGGAATCAAGTAATTGATATGTATTGAATTGAGACTTCGTATCATAATATTTAATCGTCGTCTGGGGATCATAGATACAAATATGTAGGAGCATTATCCTCTTAGTTCGGTTTCTGAAGATATCAATAGCCTTTTTGTGCTATTTTCTAATTTTTTATACTATAGTAAACTTCCCTTTGTTTAAATGGTTTTTAATACACAGCTTTTCATGAGTGTTTCTAGGTTATTGCTCTTGTCTTTGCAAAGTATTTGTTCTGTTTGGGACGTCTTCAGATGAATTTACTTCTCTTTGCTTCTGTCCTCAGTTCTTGCCTTCAGATTTCACTCCTTATGTGGTTTAGGCATCTCGTAATGCACTACTAATAAATAGATTGCAACTTACTGTGTTGTATTTCCTTTGATAATCCGGACCGTGGTGGCTATGTCGAACTCATGACTTGTGTCAGATTGTTGGCAGTACTATTGGTTTAGTTTTTTGAATTAATGATCAGATTATAACTCATAGTATTTTCCTCTCTTGTTTGGTGGTGCATGATAATCGGCTTCGTTATAACTGTAATTTGTTGTTTTCCGTAAAGTCCCTTCTATTATTCTGTGAATTAAAAAATCATTTGTGTGAGTAGTGTTTCTTTTATTCAGGTGAACGTAGCAGGAAATCCCACAGAAATAACTATTTCGTTTTTTCCCAGTTAAGTGTTCTATACCTACTCCAGAAGTTAGGATGATGATGTTCCAAATGCTGGACTATATTTCATTTTTTACTTGTTAGATGCTTTTATTGGTTACGTGTAATAGTGTCAGGTAGTACTCCAATTAAGCCTAGTGGAATATCAGCTTCATGAAATTTCAGTTTACTAGTCATCGAAGATAGTTTATTTGTCCATTGAATTTCTTGTGATGTTTTCGCAAGCATTATCGGTCTTCACTTTTAATGCCAAAGCCTTAGCAGTAGATAACATTGAAGCCAAAACTTTGTGCACAGGCCATAATGCTTACAGCCTCTTTCGTTTTTTTGAACTTGATTTTATGGTAAACACGCCATTCGTTTATATTTTCAATCGATTTGTGATTCATAAACTTCTAAACTTTAATTACCACGCTTCAACATTTACACTTATTGTTAAATTTTAACATATGTACGCAGGAAATAAATTATGCGTTTTAGTAACAATATTTGTGCGTAAATAGATTTTCCCCACCGAAATACTTGTTTTAATGTTTGAGTGCTTTACAATATGAGCTCTATACTTCATTGTATACATTTATTTACGCTGTTACTTTTACTAAATAGTGACATTCATCAGAAAGTGAATGTCTACTTAACTCGTGTTAGAATGAATAAAATATCGTGTTTTCATTATTTTTGTCCATTGTGACTTCATCTGTCTGGAAAGAAATGTAGTTTCGTCGGAGCTGAATGATTTAATTTCTTGACTGTTTCTCTTCATCGAGGCAACACTTTCCCACATTAAAAACTAAACCAGCTAAGAGGATGTAACAACACCAAAGGCGTTCACCTAAGCTGCAAATATTGCTATCCATCATTTAAATATATAATAATAATAGCTTTATTCAGGACAAAATGTTTATGCAATATACAGAATTGTCAGCGTTATTTATTGCATAATACTTTCTCTTCTCGTCCAGGATCTTCAAGTGAAGTAGCAGTACACTGTTCGGTCTCATCGCTCATAATATTTTCCCATAGTCGCAGCGGTAGGTTAAAAGCCAATTGAAAATGTGTTTGGAACCCAAAGACATAATTAAATGATTAAAATAATGAGAAATAGAGAAAAGTCAGTGCATTATGTTAGATGGATCTTTAGGGTAGTCCAGTGATTCGAGCAGACCACCAGTATTATTATGTAGTCCACCATTTCATGGTCAACTATCTCAACAATTGTGTTGTCACATAAGAATTTCTTTTTTAATGCTTCTAAAAAAATTAAATTACATTAACACAACATTCTTTTTTCTTTTACTTCTTTTTCAGATAGAAAATACAAACAGATTTTCGATGCTCTTCACATAAAAATTTCATTGTGATTAATTCCAATTCAAAAGTTCATTTAAAGTTTAACAAAAACTTTAATAAATGATATCATTATACTACTATATTTCGAGAAAATTCTGAATGAATTCATCTAGTAATATCAGTATTAATAGTATTAGTAATAATAATACTACCACTACTCCTAATACAACAACTACTACTAATACTACTACTACAACCACTACTACTACTAACAATAATAATAATTCAGTTAATATTTATCATGAACGTCAGTCAAAAATGTTTTGTGCATTGCATGCCTTAAATAATGTATTTCAAGATAAAATATTTTCAAAGAATTGTTTAGATAGAATAGCTGATAATTTAAATACTAATTCATTTATCAATCCGCACAGAAATATCTTTGGCTTAGGTAATTACGATGCAAATGTCTTAGTTATTGCTTTGCAACAATGCGGTTATGACATTGTCTGGTGTGATAAGCGTAAAACAATTGCTGGGCATAAATTAAATTTTGATAATATTTTTGGTTACATATTAAATACATTTTCTAATCGACGAATATTCAATTTAACACTACCATTGGCTGGAAGTCATTGGATCGCTTTACGCAAATTAAAGTATAACAATGATTACGTTTATTTTAATTTAGATTCTAAATTGTGTCAGCCAGTTGTAGTTGCATCAACTGATGATGAATTTGTTGATTATATTGAAGGACGTCTTAGAGAGTATCCAGAGACACAGTTATTATTTGTTGTATCTAACGATGTACTTCAACAACGTTCTTGGACGTATAATAAACAATAGGACAATATAGTGTGTTGTGTTGTTATAATATGTACAGTGATGTGTATTATTATTATTTATTTATTTAATAAAAAATTCAAATGGTGATTTTTTTTTGTACTATTTGCGTTTGTAAATCACTTAGTGAACTCGATTTCTTACAATTTTTAGTTACCGGGCTTACAACACAACTTAGTTGTTCTGGCGGCTGAAGCAGATTGAGAGTGAATTAAAAAACCTGTGACTCATTCATTGAAAATTGAAACAGAAGTAGTAATAGAACAAGCTAGACTATAAGCTGTTACCTGCTTTTCTAAACTGAAAAGTTAATTGCTTAGTTTATCTGCGTAGCTTATGTCTTTTCTCGATAGAATTTCTTTGTATTCGTTTGTTTCCTCTCTGATACCTTTCTAAACCGTCAATCGTGTATGACTTATATTTTCAGTTAGTCTCGTTGACAGTTGTATTTAATGTCTGTTATAGTGTCAACCAGTCTTCAAAGAGCTTTTCTGTTGGCATAGTGTGTGTAAATCATATAGGTATTTCAAATATCCTCCGGTTTTGACTTGTGTTTTATGTCATATTGCTGTCTGAAAGCTTACAGAGAGTTCTCACTTGAAATGATGTTTGTGGTATTTATCAGGGATTCTCACTCTCATTATTGGTATTTGACTTTGTCGTATATGTATTAATGAATATGACTGCATCCAACGTCAATATTTCAAGGATTGACTTGTTGTCAAAGGAAGGTCTCTGTCATATAAACCATGCAAATGAGTTTTATAAGTTAAGGTGCTGATGAAATCTAAAGTTTTCTAAACACCTTGAACAAAAATTTAAGTTTGTTTAATATTCAACTCGCTTCTGTCAGATTTAAGATGGAATGGTCTACACCGTAACTTAGTTTAAGGTTAGGGAATGAAATGACTAAATATGTTGACCACTTCACTGTTTTGGGAAATTCCTTGTCATAATGGCTGATTAAATCTCAGTAAAGGCACAAAAGACTTTTTTATCGTCTGCGGATTTGTTTCATCTTCGATGCCGGTGCAATATCCAGCTACCCATCAAAGGACATGTGTACTGTGTGGCATTTTAATCATCCCTAGCTTAAGACTAAATCACGGTCGTTTAAAACTGAAGGTATCACAAGATTAACAGTTTTTTAAACACAAATCTACACGTTCAGTCCCTTTTATCAAATACAATGGTATTATCGATTATAATTAGGCTGTTTGCGGGCTGGCCACCCCCCCCCCGCACACCTCTTGAAATGCTCCCATATGACCGGGCGTCTTACATAGCCTCTCCTGAGGAAGTCCTACTCACTGCCTTCACGTGGCGGAGGTGTTTTTCCACCAAAGTGAGAGGGCGAAAGCGGATGCCCGGCGCTCTTCACCGGGTTGACTGTCCATTGGATGACAGTCTAGGGGAGATGGCTAAACCCTGATCCCAAACCTCCAACGATTGGCGTATGAAGCTCACTGGAGCTCACCGGCAGACGTATGGACAAAGGGCTTGTTGGATGTCCTGGATGTCTGGCCCCATTCGAAAAGGCGTATGAACCGAACTCCGATCACCGGCTGCCAATGGATAGTGGACTCCCTACTCCACTCCTACTGCCTTGTAGGTCACACTTGGTTGTGTAAAGGCTAGGGCTGCACTCTCAAACAAAAGGCCGAGCGATTCTGGGGACATCACTCGTACCAAATTCCCATGAAACTTCATAAACTTCCTTACAAACGAACCCTGTCGCAAAACCTTGTATCAGATCGCCGCGCCTGGGCAGCGATGATTCCAGATGTTCATGAAGCCGGCTCATCCTCCCGTAGGAGATAGCCGAAGTAAAGTAAGTAAGTAGTTTGCGGAGTTTTACATAAGGAGGGAAAGTCGATCGGTAAGCTGCTACAGCTCCATCAACTGAGGTGCTAGACTATGTGTTACGCAAAAACAGCCATCGCCTAAGCAGACGAGTAATGTCAGGTTATATAGTATTAGGTTGGAGAAGAGTTAGTGAAGTTCAGACGAAAACAGGTTACCAATCCATGAAGTCATCTTAGTCACTCTAAACGTTGTAGGAAGGTGTAAACAACTTAGCTAAGGTCCTCAGTATGCAGAGGATCAGATGTTAGTGACGGGGTTCATAATCGTACAGAAGAAAGTGTGAACAGCTAGGAAGTAATAACTGCTCGCACACTTCCATAATCATATATATTTGTCACCCACTTCATCTTCCTGCCACTGTTAATATTAATCTTCAGGCGTTTTCTTCATCTCTGAACGCTGTAACCATTAGTAGCTAACTGGACCGGAAAAAAGTTCCCAGTCTCTGAAGACTACGTTACTAATATCAGTAAAAAGTTTGAGCATTGTGGATTAGATCAAATAAAGTATAATTATATTTTAATAGTTTACACACAATGATAAGTTTTTTTATTGGTAATATTTCGAGCAAAATTACTGCCCGTGTTCACACCAGTGTTGGATTTGTTTGGAATCAAACAGATCCAACACTGGTGTGAACACGGGCAGTAATTTTGCTCGAAATATTACCAATAAAAAAACTTATCATTGTGTGTAAACTATTAAAATATAATTATACTTTATTTGACTACGTTACTAACTTCATATGGGAGCTTATCACGTCCGAGACTTATGCCAAATCTTACACCAGGCGTCATGAACTAGAAATTTGACATCTTAAATGGTGGATGTATGTCGTGTTTCGCAGACACATACGAAACTCAGGTGTGGTTATTCACTTAAGTTCATCTGGTCAGAACTGTGAATCTACAAAATTCACCTTATGAGTGTTAGGAGATTATTTTTCAACCATTTCGGGATAACTTTGGTGGAAAACTGGCTACTTGTTTGGATTCTAGAGGATAGTCGTATGTGTGTTGTGTAGCTGAACGTATCTGTGAAAAAAGGAAAGATTGTGATACTTGTTGATACCTTTTAGTAATCTGCGTTTATGCGACAGTCAATTAGTTTGCATCTAAAAGCAAAGCCCTCAGATAGAGTCACTTTTTCAGATTATTTCAACAATCGAATAGGGAATTCGTGCCACCTGTGCAGTCTCATACCGATGAACCAACAATGGTGACTTTTTTTTACAATTTTGTTCAAGCAGTTATCTTTTCCTGGTTAGCAGTAAGTTCAAACATCAGGAGAGACTTTGTCTCACTTGGAAATCTCCAACATCAAACCAGCGATGAATAAAAATAGATCACGTAACCATAAGCTGTTAGTGAATCGGGTTGGTTGAAGATTGCCGCTTCTTTCGGAACACCTGTATAAACTCCTATCACACTAATCTGTGAACGTATGTACCTACGACTGAATGGACATAGGAAACATGTAGCTATAAAATCGCTACACTTCTAACTTCTTGATAAGATTATGGTCTTTGTACAGAAAAATAATAACTAAACACGTTTCTAAGTATGACAGTAGTACTCATCTTAAGAAAGCCTGGAATCATATCCAACCTAGTATAGGAACCGGTAAATGCTCTTTCTGACACTCCATTCGAAATAATACACATGAGGAGACTGGTTTCGAACGGCTATAAAAATGACGAGTAGAGAAATCTTGAACGCAAGCCAATTAAAAGCCTTCGAAACCACCGTGAAATGTTCTGATTGACAAAGTTGGAAAAGGTGGAAAGGGCGTCAGCTGTAAGCAGTACTATACTGCTATTTAAACACATTGTAAAAAAACCAAATGATAAGTGAAACAACTGCGGAGAATAACGGTGCTTTAAATCACTTCTCATGATGGACGACTGGAATGTTGGAAAGCACACTTTGAGGAGCAACTCAGCTGATCTGCAGTGATGCTAAACTTACTCACTATCCAACATCTACTCATGTGGGATATCAACATGAGTCCTCTAACCGTAAATGAGTTTGCGAAAGCTGTTTCTATTCTAAAACTAGGTGAAGCACGGTTACTTGATGGTGAAACTCTATAGGTGTTTAAGGATGGTGGTGATGACCTACTAACTAAGATATTACGCAATGTATGAGAATCTGAGATAGTTCTATTGAACCGGTGCGAATCAAGGATGATTCCAGTTTATCAGGAGGTTCACAAATCTGCTTGTGGTTAACAACGTGTGGTGAGTTCTCTTGTGTTTCTATGTCTTGTCAGTTTCTTAATCATTACTGCTTGCAGTTTTCTATAGAAGTCCTTCTTCTCTGTTGAGTCTGTAGCATTGTATGGTTGTAACTTTTTTTCCTTGTGAGTCAAATCTTGCTGTCATTATCCTGAAGGATATTGATTCCCACTGATTGAGAGCCTTCGACACTGTTGGTGATATCAAGATAGCCACACAGTCAGTGTGCATGTGGCTGTCATTTGGGTGACCGGAGTAGATTATTGATTCTTCAGTTAACAATTCTGAGGGTCTACTTCCATTTCATCTGCCATCATAGATTCCTAGAACTCCCAGACCAAATCTTTTCATTTCTTCTGCAATCAGAGTAGCTTCATGGGCCTTAATCTTGCTTCGGCCATTGTCCGTCCCCATACTTGCTTTTACCGTCATCTAATGAAGACTTATTGGCTTCTTGAGAAGTTTTACCCACGTCGTCATCCGTCATCGAAATTAGGAGTCTTCACTATCTCAGAGGCGAATAAGTTTATTTCTTCAATGTCCTGGAGATTTTAGTAGCGACGGTGTTATTTTCACTGAGTGAGGTTGTCACCCCTGTATTCAACCTTTTCTTTTGACCTTAAGACCGGCTGGTAAACTTGCCTAACTTCTGAATATGGCAAAGATATAAAAATTAATTTTGATTGAAATATAAGTGCCGATATTTAACC